CTCCTGCTGCTGCTGCTGCTGCTGCTGTTGCTGTGCAAGTCTTTCCAGTAACTCCTTCTTTCTGGCACCAGCCTGCTGCTGCCTGCGTAACTCCTTCTGCTTCAGGATTTCTTCTCTCAGGCGCTTCTGCTCCTCTATCTTTAAGCGATATAACCTTGTCTCTTCGTCTTCATCAGGGAACTGAAATGGAAAACATGGTTCATTTTGCTTCACAGGGCAGGGTGGCCATTTCAAATAAATGAATTTCCTCAAAACCTTTAATTCAGTATTTGAAAGAAGGCATTTGAAAAATCTGCTTAACAAGAAGCATAACTCTCTCCTCTCGGGAGGGGTAAATTAACACAGCTAAACCTAAAAATCATATCAGAATATTAAAAATGAAATAATGTAAATTTCACTCATTTACAAGTTTGAAACCAATTAAACTATTCATTTAAGATATTAAAATATATTTCTAATGGGAATGGCAACAGCCATGAGTGCCTGCTGTCACAGAGGTTTTATCTGGCTCTTCCTTGACAAACCAACAAAAGGTGGGGTGTAAATGACCTGAAAGGCCCTGATTAGAACTATTGATTTTTTCGTACAGAATTTTCAGCCTGATCTCAAACTCATTTGTCACAGAATAATTGGTTATAATGAACACCACAAGTCAATCTTTCTGACCTTGAACTCACGCACTCTTCTCAGAATCAAAATGCTGCCAATCGCAGTATTGGAATATTAATGGTAAGTAGATGCCTTGAATATCCCTATTAATGGTAAGTAAATGCCCTCAACATCCCAGACTCAAACTACACTAAAAGTCTATACAGAGAATTCCTTTTCAAAAGTCCAGTAAATTTTTTACTAAGGAAGCCAATGACAAAAGCTTATAGCTTAAAAGTAATGTTCTTTAAAATCATCTATCGGTAGTCTGTACAGAATATGATTCAATTTATCTAGAATTCACCTAATTACAAATCTTGCCTATTTTGCATAAATCCCAAGAATTATAAATGTAAGACATGCACAGAGCTGGAGAGTTGAGTGGGTACCCCATGGACTTCTTGGCATGGGCTGGCCTGCTTTTTGTCTAAGGTCAAAGCTTTGGATACATTTCAAACCAAACTAAAGGTAGATAAGAGAGAGACTGTTACTCAGCAGTCTTAAATAAGAAACCCACAGTCCAACAGCAAAGGATCCAGGAGCAGAATCCACATGCACTATTTCTTAACACAGGAGTAATTAATTCATCAGCATCTGTTTCCCAAGCAGTCAAAAAAGGGTTAAAGTAAGTTCAAAGATATAGATAAAAATACTTCAGATTTATTTCTTACTGAATCCATACAAATTAAATAAATCTAAGTCATTATAAGTCACCTTTAGCTAAGCAAAATAAATGGATTTCTTTAAAAGAAGAAACTATAAGCCTGGTACAACTTACATATACAAAAACCTAAACCAAAACAAATTAAGGCATTCAACCTATATCCCTGAAACCCGTCAACTTTCCATTTCATTTTCATGAATTATCTGCCTGTGATAAGAATTTGTGGTAAGTCTAAAATGAAATGAATAAACACGGCTAATTATTCCTCTCCTTGTGTTATTTAGTCACTGTTATTACATAAGAAATGCATATGTGAACTAGACTGAACACGTATACAAGTTCTAGGCTAGTTATATAAAACAAAGGTATTATCAAATTTATTGCCAAGAACCGTTTTTTGTTTTTTTTTATGGGGGGGCGGTGCTGAGATCAAACACAGGGCCTTGTGGATACTGGGCAAGTGTGTGTATCCTTAATCTCTTATTATCTTTGTGTGTGTGTAAATTCTAAGTTGCCCAGACTGGCCTTGAACTAGTGATTTTCCTGCCTCAGCCTTCAGAGTAGCTAAGATTGTAATAGTGAAACCCAAGACCCAGCTCACAAAGAACTCTGTATAAACCACTCCATTCTAGTCTGTAGTTCCAATTTTCTTACATACACTGATTATGAAACCCACAACCACCCTTTTAATGACAATTTATTAAATGACATCCAAACATTCTGACTTCCTAATTTTAATGTGATATAATTAAAACCATTATAATCATTTATCAGAAGAAAACCTGAATGATGAAAACCTATTTAAAAAGACTAAAACAGTGTAAACTGGTTTTTAGAAAGAAAGGATGAATTTCTTAAATTCTTACTTAAGGAAATGCTCCCTGCTATCATTACACTAAACACGATAATAATCAATTGCTTTGTTACGTTCAGCATGGATTTTACTGGTGGTCACTATACTTGTCTGTGTCCAGCTCCCAGGTAAACCCTACCTTACTTTATTTCATCCTCATATAATAGCTAAGAAAGGTGAAGCTTGTGAGAGGCCAAGGATCTCAAAAATGAAGACCGTGTATGATTATTGCTCCACACCTATTACCAAATATAAGTAAGGCCACAGAACTACCTGGTTTTGTGAGTAAGGTTTACTGGTATAGAGCACATCTGTTTCTGTAAGAACTATTTATAAACCACCTTGAGCCACAATGGCAGAGGTGAGGTGAGTCTAGAACATTTATGGAATTTGGGTCCTTCAAAGAAAATATCTGCCAAACCTGGATATATACTGATTCTATATAATACAGGAATAACTACAAATATAGAAGAGTTAAGATCATAAACCAATGAGAATGTCAGAGTACCCATGTATTCGCCAGGGAATGAAAATACAAGCTGCCCATGGTGCTCTGCCACTGGGCTACATGCCCCCACCCACCCACCCACCCCACTCCCCACCAGCAGTGACAGCATCTGTTATGAATGTCTATTAGGCTAAAGAGGCATCTACTTGGGGGGGAATACATGGGCAGTTTCTAAATGAGTGAATTAAGCAGAACATATTGACAGTCAGGCTCCCTATTCCAAAATAAACATGGAGGAAAGAGGTCCTACCTCTGGTTCTGCTTTTGCTTCTTCCTTAGGTTGAGCCCCAGGGCTAAGCGGCTTGACTTTTGCATCAGTTTTTCCCTGTGAGCTCCTAGAAGCCACCACAGCCCTGCAGGGTGGGGAAGTGTTGACAATAGGCTTCACCTGAGCTGCAGGTGTGGAGGAACAGCGATTACCACTCATTTCCAACACGTGTGAAGGTGCTATGGGGAGCTCACGCAGATTACTGTTTCTGGGAGCGGTGGGTTGCATCTGCTGCATGGGTCGTTTGCTTATACTCTGAGATGATGCATTCTGTCACAAAAAGAAACACGAATTTATTAGTGAGTAAAACCACAAGGGATCGCTGTCATCAATAATTGCCTTGTCTTCTGAGAGGTAGATCCCTTACTCTGGCAAACACAAATGCTGTTGTGTGCCCCGATGTTTAGGACTTGCTTCTGTAAAGATAGAGCTTTCATTTATAAAAGTCAAATCCGTTTTTTTTTTTTTTTTTCCAGTATATGAACTAACATTTTTAACAAAATTCTGGGCCAAGACAACAACAACAAAAAACTTCAAGCACCCAAATGTATCAATGGCATACTGCTTCTACTTCATCTAAGTTTAAAATGGAACAGGAGAACCTAACAGCATGTTTCAATCTTATAAACAGCTTTCTGGAGGAGAAAGGTGCCACAAAGTTCTATGACAAGAAGAGTCTCAGTTACTCTCACCTGGACGTGCCTGGCAAGGAACCCATGCATGAAGGGGTAGAGGCGGCTGAGGCGGGGAGGGGCTGAGTTGCTGCCGTTACTGTGAACCTACTTACTCACACACGCCTCTCTTCTACCTAGAAATCCCCTTAATGCTCATGTGATTAATTTTAAGCTATAAAGAGGCAGGGTTAGGAAGACAGGTTCAAAGCAGCTCAGTAATTTCCTCAAACTATGAGGATAAAGTACAGGACTGAAAGGAAGACTTATAGACAGGACTGTTAGCAATACTATGTTTTGTCCTGAAAGAGAAAGTCATGTCAGTTACTAATGGAGGACAAGGCAATGGCAGCTACATTTTACTCTCATAGCAATCTATCACCCCCCCAGTTTCTTTCAATGCATGACAAGACCCATATTTGCTGACAGTTATGTAAAATGTACCACCACAAACAAATTTCCCACAACAGAATGTAAGCTTTGATTCAGAACCCAGAGGCAGATACCCCGTATCAAAGGCTAAGATGTTCGCACTGGCGGAATGACTACCACCTAACAGTATTGTCTAATCACTACAGAAGACTCAAAAAAAATCAAAAAAGTAAATATTAACATAGCCTTTAAGGCTCAGAAAAAGATAAGCTAGTATCTACAGTTTAAATTTCTTTCCAAGTGCTCTAAAACACAATCACAGTTTTACTTTGGAAAATATATTGTGTATTTATTAATAAAACAAGACAGCTGGAAAACAATCTACCTCAGGGATTTTAAGTTAAGCCACATATGATACTCACATGCCGTAGCCCCTGACGTGGGGTACACTGCATCCGACTGCTATTGGGCTGAGGCTGAGCAGTCTGCACGTGCGGCCTGAACTGTGGCTGAGACATGGGCATCAGAGGAGGGGGAGGAGCGGAAAGGTGGTGGTGATGCTGGTGTTGCTGTGGCTGATGCTGAGGGGGAGGCTGATGCTGTGGGGGAGGCTGATGTGGAGGCTGGAGAGGAGGCTGGAGGGGTGGCTGGTGCTGGTGATGCTGGGGCTGCTGCTGTGGCTGCTGAGGCTGGGGCTGTGGTTGATGGGGTGGAGGCAACGGAGGATGCAAGGGTCCCTTCCATTCCAAAGAGAGAGAGAAAGAGAGAGAGAAACAACAGCTTATAAACAGATGTGCTAGGCAGATTTCATCCCAATGGTTTCCTTAAAAACCTCAGCCTGAGAAGCTTCATGTCGAGAAAGCATCATAAATGCAGCAATCAGCTGGTAATGCCTAAAACTTAGTCACTGTCATAAAAGGTGACCTCCTACAGTGTGCTCAGATGGTACAGTGAAGACAATCCAATAGACTACAAAGACCATAGTGACTATATTACCTGAGGAAAAGAATATACAGATAAGGACACACTGTTTCCCTACTAAAAAAGACATACCACATGTTCATGGCAACTAATGCTCAGTAATGGAATTATTTAATTTCTTTAAACTTACCTATATTCTAATATTTCTATAACAGAGGGGAAAGTTAATTCCATTTTTAGAATAAAATTTCAAAATATTTAACCCCCTCTGAACACTGAAAATATTTATCTTTTCTTTTTAGCTTAAATACATATTCTTTTAAAACATTTATTTTTAGTTTTGTTTACTATTGCTCAACTGGCTGTGTGTGTACGTGAGTGTACACACAATGAACATGTGCCAGAACATACATGGAAGTCAGAGGACAACTTTAGAGTCAGTTTTTCCTTCTATCATGTGAGTTCCAGGGGTCAAACTTGGGTGTTCAGGCTTGGTAGCAGGTGCTTTTACCATGCTAAGATATCTTTGCAAGCCTAGATATGCTTTTTAATAATTGACTTATATATACACAGATTTTAGGTGAATGAATGTCTATGTACCAGGGGTGTGTCTGGAGCCTACTGCAGCCAGTGGAAGACTTTGGAGTTGTGGTGATTGTGAGCCACCATGTGGGTGCAAGTAATTGAATCCCATCCTCTGGAAAAGCAGCAAGTGTTCTTTACAACTGAGCCACCTCTCCAGCCTACTCCCACCACCACCCTCTTTGTCCATTCTCATAGTCCCTATGAATCTAAACAGTTGAGTCAAGTGTACTATTACCAACTCTCTCCCCGTTGTCGACAGACAACATCTCCCAGATGATGGGATCAATGCCACTGCACCTTGCTTGATCACAATGTATCTTGATAGTAAGGATTAAATAAATAAATAAATAAATAAATAAATAAATAAATAGGTAGGGAAAATGTCACAAATACTTGTACTGGCCACCAGTAGAGGGCACACAAGCCTGTCACATACAGAGTAAGAAGCTGTAGTGCCCCCAGCCCATTTCCCCTCCCTAGCATGAACATGACATGACATGGGGGAAAGTACTGTACAAGATGAGCAAACACACCATCAGGACATACTTTAATGTTAGGTACAGTAGTCTAATGTTAAAGTCACCCTTAAAAATTCCAAGGGTGGCAAAGTTCAGCTTCAAGAAAATGAGAACCACTTTTTTCATATTCCCTAATATTCAGGAAATAAACAATATTGTCAAGAAAGCTGGCTGTAACAAACAGTATACATAAGACTACTACTCATACTAACCATAAGTTAACAGAAACAATTAAAACCTGAAACTTCCCTTTCATGAAACACAAAGGATCAGCACCACATGGAGAGCGTCCCTCAAGGCTGGTTCAAGTGCATACCTGAAGGTTAGGCTGTGCATGTGTAGGCAGGAACGGCTGTCCAGGGCTGGGGAGGAACGGCTGTCTAGGAGGAATGAAAGGCCTGGCAGTTGCTGACCCTGGTTGGCTAAAGTGCAGGATCCCCACTGGGCCTGGGGGCTGCAGGGCTGGTCTTACAGGCCTCTCTCTAGGGAACACTGGCTGCTGTCCTTGCTGATTAAATGCTGGTCCAGGCTGAGTGAATGGTAAGGGACTCTGAGTGGGGACAGGATGGCTGCTGTTCAGGAGTGTGGGAGGAGGAGGTGGTGGAGGACTTCGCTGTTCCAAGAAAAGATGACTGGGGAACCTTGGTTCACCTGAAACTGAACAGTAACACATTACCCTCAAGTTAGAAAGACCCCCTTCCCCACCCAAAATTAGCCTTTAATCCCAGCAATCGGGAGGCAGAGGCAGAGGCAGGTGGATCTCTTGAGAGTTCGAGGCCAGCCTGGTCTACAGAGCAAGTTCCAGGACAGGCTCCAAAGCTACAGACTTCCCAGACAAGGATTTTTAGAAGCCACCTCACTATTCCCAACTGTTAGGAGCATATTTTATAAAGAATTCTAGATTTTAGCTATCTCAGAAGGTTTTATGGGTCATTTTCTATAAACATTTCCTTCTTTGTACAAGACTGTCATATTTCCTATCCAATTACTGTCTAACTTTAGCCACTGCAGTGACTGATAAAATCATTACGGCACATCTCCTAGTGGGAGGTAAAAGCTATTTTAGCAGTAACCACACAGGTCCACCATGCAATGCAGCTTCTGTCACTTCACCTCGTGACCATCATGTCCCTTCATGTACCTCCCAAGAAGAAAGGGTCTCGCTCCTGAGGTGGTGGTGGGGCTCTCCACTGGTCCTGGAGAGGAAGTCGAGGTGGTTGATTAAAACTGTTGGGAACAGGTCCAGGTGTGTGCTGTGGAAATTCTGGAGGCCCCTAAAGAACAATGGAAAACAAGATTAAAAGCACCATGTAGTTTTCAGAATATACACATAATCTCAAGCTTAACAATGTCATAACTCATTTCTTAAGGTCAGGCTACTTCTTTCTCTTGTCTCTCTACATAAGCACATTATTGAAGATAAATACCTATGTACAAATGTAAATGACATTACATAAAAAGTGATTTTGCCATAATAAAGAAGTCAAGAAATCAAAATACACCATCAAGAAATTAATTCAGGATTTTAACATTACTAGAAAGCTGTTGTGGAATATTACTTTAACTGTGTAAAGGTGTTACATTTGTTTCACCTTGCCTGCCTAAGGCACCTAACTGGTCTAAGAAAGAGCCAAATGGCCAATAGCTAGGCAGGAGAGGGATAGGCGGGGCTGGTGAACAGAAAGAGTATGTAGGAAAAATCCAGGAAAGAGAGACAAACCCAGGACCAGAAGCCTGGCAGCCACCAGCCATAAGGGGGAGGGGGGGTAAGTGAGAGAGTGCACTATAAGAATGCTGCCAGGAGGCAGTGGTGGAACACACCTTTAATCCTAGCACTTGGGAGATAGACAGGCAGACTTCTTTGAGTTCAAGGCCAGCCTAACCTACAGACTGAGTCCAGGACAGCCAAGGCTAAACAGAGAAATCCTGTCTTGAAAAAAACAAAACAAAACAAAACAAAACAAAAGGATACTACCCAAGAAATGCTTCCATTTACCACAAAACTGTAAGCCTGATAACTAAAAACAGCAATAAAATGAAGTTTGAAATGTTAACATTACATCTTTCTAAAAACAAAGCATTATGATTTATTGAAAGAGATAGGACAGAAATCCCACAGCTAACATTCTTTTAGCTGTTACTTGCTACTTCAAGTGAGACTGAGGCAACCCTCACCATACTAAAATCTAAAGAGCATGCTTCTTATTACCAAAAAAACATGGGAAGTAAGATCCCTCCCTCCTCAAAGCACAGCCAACAATGAGGAGCCTGAGACTATGCAGCATACCTGCCCAAGCCCAGAAAGGCGCTCTCCCTGACTGAACATGCACACAACGGTGCTTGCCGGAGACATCACTACTCTGAAGCTTTGAAAAAGTCCCTGACATCTTCACTATGCTAACATGCAGAAAAGCCTTTTCTATTGAAACAGGTTACCATGATTACATTTAATAACCCTGCAGGAGCAATTTTAATGGACATGCCTATTCTGCCATGAAGTCAATCAAACACATTCTGTGCATCGTACTTCATGCTCTTTATGTGTAAGAGCACAGTCTGAGCAGTCCACTTCAGGTTCACACGTCAGCATACTCTGGCATATACAACTTGAGCATCCTTAGTGTGAAAATCAGTATCTCTCTAGAGTCACTCACATTCAAAGTTTCATACTGCAGATTTCAAATTTTGGCTTAATGGTACTCAGTGGATAAAATTCAGGCTATGCAAAAACTAGAAAACTCTGAAACCTGAAATACTCTGGTCCTAACTATTTCAGATAGACTCAACACCTATAAGTATATCCAAACTGTATTTTCTCAGTTAGGGCTCACTCTTCCACAAATGACTCTTAGCTTGTGCCAAGCTGACATAAAACTAGCCAGCACACCAAGCCAATCAGTAATCCTGACCCTTTCCAATTAGACAATTGTCTTCAAAAGCTGTGTAGAACTGCTACCTCAGGGGCAGTCTGAAACAGTGGGACCATCTCAGCATGCATGGATGAGGAATAGTTCCAACTCCAGAGTCAGGCAATTGGCATGCTTACAAGATGTTACCTGAATCCACTGTTGGTTGTCTTTGGTCATATGGTTAGTCTTAAGGTCAGGGGAGCTGGGAGAATGGGTCTGAATGAAGGATCAATCTCGCTACCTTACAGTGATTCTCACAGAATTTTAATAACTACCATGTAAATCCAACAAGAACCAGTTAGACTCCAAGCTTCATAATCACCTACTTCATAATCATCTGCCGAGAACCAGCGGTGCTCTGGTTCAAAGACAGTGCCATCACCACTGTCCATACAATGCATCATCAATCACAGCCAGGGAACAAAATGGTGTCAAATCACTACCTAAAGTCAAAGTCATAGTAATTTTAAGCTATACCATGGTCATTAAACCACATTCCACTTAAAAAACTCAGTGAGTGGGAGGCCAGGCGTTGGTGGTGCGCGCCTTAAATCCCAGCACTCGGGAGGCAGAGGCAGGTAGATCTCTGTGAGTTTGAGGCCAGCCTGGTCTACAGAGTAAGCTCCATGACAGGCTCCAAAGCTGCAGAGAGAAACCCTGTCTGGAAAAACCAATAAATAAATAAACAAAACTCAGTGCGGGCTCACACAGGTCATCATAGTCAGGACAAACTGAAAAGACAGAAAGGAGTTTAAGCCCAGCCAACAGAGACCCTATAAGAATGGCTGAATAGGAGATTTCAAACAGCAATCGAGTTTCCCCTTAGAGGTAGACTGTCAGTGCCTGTATCTTGTGGGGCATTATGAACTCTGGGAACTATACCACACCGTACATAAACTTCTACATGCATCTAATTTTCTGGAAACATTAATGTATTTGTTTTAGACAAAAACACAAAATCCCCCTGGAAACAGCTTCTCAAATAGAAATGGAACTTTCTGCCACTCCTCCTCATTCCAGACAGGCCCTGACCAACTCTGCTCTTTGAGATTTGTTTCAAAGACCCACTGTGGTACAGACCATAGATGACCCACATCCCTACTCCCTAGCCTGCTGAGGACTGTGCAACCGGAAGGCTCCTTACAACAGATAAGAATCACCAAGTGTGTATTTAATTCTAATTGGTCCGTCAACACTTCTCCACTGCCCTGGTCACTTTCCTGATCATCTTCTGGTTCTGATCTGCAACACAACTGCTCCTATGTCTGCAACAGTCTGGACAGCCTCACTGCATCCAAGCATTGTCCACAGTAATGTGGGTGCTAATTTTTAGCAGCAGCCTATTTAAGATAATCTAGGTTTTCATTCTATTACTGCATTTAGTCATATTTTTTCATAAAAACAAACAGTACGCTAAATTATAAGCACTGAAAGCATAAATTTTTAGCTATGTTAACAAGCTGACAAAAAGCAGATGCAGGAGAAAATGAAGAGGGGAGAGAGAATTTATCACTTAATAATGCTTACACAATGATCAGTGTGATAACTTAACTTACAGCTTCCACCAATTTCACAAAGAACACAGGAAGCCTAATGAATTTACATTCACCACCCCTGGTGTGGCTGCAGCTCCCACTGCTATCCATGCACTGCTGCTCTCGCCACTACAGTTAGCCCCGCCTACCTCTTTCCCAGAACCAGAGGGACTTGCTGCAGAGTGCACCTGGCTTTCAAGATATACCTCCTACATTGTCAGGAAATACAAGAAACAAGACCCTCTGCAATTGCCCTTTCTATTCAGATCACAAGCTCCACTTTTCCTTCATTCTGATTTCCTCATACAGACTTTACTACAGAGTATAATTAAGCCCAGCATTCCTGTCTGTCTCTGTTGTTGGGCTCAGAGAACTAGAACGTGTGTTGCTTCCATGTGCAATCTGCAGTCACGCTGGCACTGGGTCTGGGCTCAACAGAAGAGTCATAGCCCTCTCCTACTCCACCCCACCCAAACCCAACCCTACTCCACCCCACCCTACCACACAGGTAATTCTGAGTCTTTCTTAGATGCAAGGCCAATGTAACTGGAAGAGCAGACTGGCTCCCACACGGCTAGGAGGGAAGGTATGCTGAGTTCTGCAGTCATGGAGAGATCAGGACATTCTTTCTCCTTAACCCATAACCTTGTCCCAACTATTGGTCAGAATCAGGACTCCAAGAAGACCAACCCACAGTTTCCAATAAGAATTTCAAGCTATGGCAATCTAGGTACATTGCTTCGGCTGGAGTACAACTCCAGTCCTGATTCCCCTCTTCAGGTAGTGTCCATCTGTTCTCTGAGACAGGTCTCTCACTAAACAGGCCAGGCTGGTTGCTCAGCAAGTCCCAAGAATCCTCCTGTCTCTGCTTCACCAGAGTTGGGGTTACAAACATAAACCACCCACCCCCAGCTTTGCTATGTATGTGTACTTGGTATTGAACTCAGGTCTTCATCCTTGCATGGCAAGCATTTTGCCAACCGAGCAATGCCCCTGGCCCCAAGTGTCTCTAAGCACTATCAAGAGTCCACAGAAGACTATTTTAAATCTTTGTAACTTCTAAAGACATTTTGTTTGTTTGTTTGGTTTTTGGTTTTTCGAGACAGATTTTCTCTGTGTAGCATTGGAGCCTATCCTGGCACTCGCTCTGGAGACCAGGCTGGCCTCGAACTCAGAGAGATCTGCCTGCCTCTGCCTTCCAAGTGCTGGGATTAAAGGCGTGCGCCACCAATGTCCGGCCACCTTTTTATATTAAACTGGAAATATACTGGGATTCTCAAATCTTGCCCCCCCCCATGCTAACACTGTTAAGTTTTCTTTTCTAGGTACCCATATGCTGCATAAATGCATATTCATAAGCATTACAATGTGTGGGGTATGCAGAAAAGCCTCCAGATTCTCACGATAGTTCTGATTCAGCAAAACATAAAAGCTTTTTAAGACTCACAATAAAGCTTCAAGATGAACCTGTAAGGGCCCTGCTGAGACTGATGCTTACAATTGCACTGACTGCAGTACCTGCTCTAGGGTATAGCAGAAGAACCCAGTGCTGACTAACCCAGTGCTGACTGACAGCTGCCTCAGCCCTGCCCTTTCCCCAGCCGCTTCCAGCTGCTGCCCAGAGCAGGTAACCACAGGTTTAAAGATAAAGGACAATTCAGAACAGCACAATCGTAGGGTTGGTATGGTGCACACCTTTAATCCCAGCACTCGTGAGGCAGAGGCAGGAGGATCTCTGTGAGTTCCAGGCCAGCCTGGTCTACAGAGCAAGTTCCAGGACTGCTGGAACCATAGCTACTGAGAAATCCTGGGGGTGAGGTAGAGAGCATT